CCCCTCGCCCACAGCCCCGCCCCCACCTCCTGCACGTGCTCCTTGGCCCGCAGGTCCGAGGGGTGCATGAGCGAGCCCATGACCTTGACGTTGCCGTGCACTACCAGCGCCTCGTCGGGCCGGTCCGTGTTGATGCCCACACGGCCATGGTGGAAGACAGTGTCGGGCACCTGCGCCCGCTGCCACAGCACGTCGCTGTCACTCTCAAACTGGCCTGGGTTGGAGGCCTAGCACAAGTGGGCGGGGGTTTGGATCAGTCCCAGGGCACGGGGGACCTGCAGTGCCCTGGGCAAAGGGGAAACCCTGCAGCTACCCCTCCAGCTCCAGGCAGGGATCCTCACCCTACCCCGCCCAACTTAAACTGCCCCTCCCACTGTGGCACCTTTCAGTCACTCCTGGGATCTCAGAAGGCTACCCGGGCCTTGTCCACCTCCACCCTTGTGAAGGAGACACTGTGGCTCAGCGGGTGGGTGGGAACTTGCCCGAAGCCACCCAGCCAGGGCCTAGCAGGATCAGCACTCCAGCTCCTGACTCCCCAGGACCCCAGTATTTTTCCTGGGCACTACCGCTCCCAGCTCCGGGGAGGACTGTTGATCCCTTGGAAGGAGGTAGCCCTCACCCTCACGATGATGCGCTCTGAGATTTGGGCAGCCAGCGTGTAGTTCTGGTTCTGGGCGTGGGCCTGGAGGGCCACCACCAGCATGAAGTACCTGTGGCACACGGGGGTTTAGAGGCACTGGGTCCTGCCCCAACTGCCCCTGCCCGCCCACCCCCTTCTCCCCGTCCCATGTCTGCTGTACAGTGCCCGGGCTCCCAGCACCCCAGCGGGGAGAGGGCATTAACACCTCATCCTACAGAGGAGGAACCTGAGTCTCCACCAGGGGGCAGAAACTCGCCAGGGCCCACATCGAGGACACCGGGAGCTGCTCATCCAGAAGCCAGGCTTCTGCTCTCTCATCCTTAACTCCATTAGCCTTAGCTGGGAGCCTCAGGTCTCTCTTCTGTAAAATGGGTCAGTGTGTGGGACACTGCGACAGCAGGTGGTGTCTTCCTGCCCCTCCTCCTTAGAGATGGAGGGCCCCCCAGGGCCGGGGTGCAGCCTGCTCACCTCTGGTCAGGGTTGGGTTTGCCCTTCTTGCGCATGTTGTTGGCAGTGGTCTCGCTGAAGTGCAGACGGCCCACAGTCACCTTCGTGACCTGCTCAGGGGGCAGATTGACCCTGCAGAGGAGCGGCAGGGGACTCAGGACGCAGGGAGGGGGGCTTCCTAGAGCCAGGCGCCCAGTCGGGAATGCGCGGGAGGCAGATATCGTGGGTGCCTGCCTGGCCCCCTCAGCTCCCAAGCCAGCTCCAGGGCCAGCCCACCCGGGGACCCCCACCCCCAGGGTTGACACTCACGTGACAGGGTTAAAGGGCCGCTTGCTCCGGTCCGACTGTGACTGCTCGATGTTGATGGACTGGTTCAGGGCCTCCAGCTGGGGGAGAAGCAGAGGCCGGTGGCCCATGAGGGCCGGGGTCCCCGCCTGGTTCTGCCACCCTTTAGCCGCTCAGCCCGGGCCTGGCCCAGCCCGAGCTCCCCCGGAACTGGAGGCGAGGCCCTCCCCTCAATGAGGGCACAGACAGTCACATGGCTCTCCCAGCTCCACATGCACCCACTCACGCATTGCACGGACACGCGGCCCCCACCCCCGTCCCCGCGGCCCCTCCATGAGCAGCGGCTGAGCCACGCCAAGGCACCAGGCTCCAGCTCCCGGCAATGGAGGAAACCCACGCAGCCGTGCCCCCAGGGAGCTCGCGGGCTCCAAATCAGCCACTCCGAGGCTGGGGCTAGAGGGGCCCCAGGGGAGGAGCCTCAGGGCAGGTGTCCCCAAGGGCCAAGGACTGTAGCAGAGTGAATGGGAAGGCCAGGGGAGGAGGGATGGAATGGGCATGCTCAGGGTGTCCCAGAGGAGGGGAGCTGCCTCAGGAAAGCGGGGCCTGTGAATGGGCATAATCCGTCTGGGGCACAACGAGAGGCAGGGCTGGAGGGAAGGGCTCGTGGGCTAAGCTCAGAAGTCAAGGCTTTGCTGGAGGGCACCAGGAGCTCTGGAAGAATGGCAAGTGTCGTGCCCGCTGGTGTCTCAGGGGGAGCGTGAGCTGGTGGCCCCCGTGGAAGCTGCTGTGGTCACTTAGACGAAGTGGGGGTGTGGTCGGGGCCAGGGAGAGGCAGAGGAGAGAAGAGAGAGGAGGTGGGCCAGGCCTGGTGCATGATGATGAGGTGGGGGCAAGTGGGCCCCTGGATGGATGGCTTGGGTAACCAGCACCCTGGAGCCCTACTCCCTGAGTGGGGGGCCCCGACGGAGGGGCAGGCTGACAGGGAGTTCATTTGGGGCTGGGATCTAAGCCGACATAGGGGTCAGGAGAAGGGTCTGGGCTGGGGGTATAGATTTGGGGTCACCGGGTAGAGAAGGAATCAGGAAGCACAGCTGAGAAGGGGGCTGAGGAGGCTGACGGTTGGGGTGTAGGTACACTCACTTTGCCTTGGGGCCGTTCAGGTCCCCAAGCATTCCTGGCTCCCCTCCCCTCCTGGCTGAGCCCCCAAACCTGCCTTCACTCCGTGCAGTTTCAGGTAGAAGCAGTCGAGGGGCTTGAGGCCCTCAGGCGTCTTGACGTACTTGGGCTCGCCCAGCATGCCAATGTACACGGTGACCTGGAAGTGGTTCTTCTTCTGGCACACGAACGCGTCGTCGCCCACCGAAAAGTTGAAGCCCTTGTCAGCGTCCACGCGGTAGGTGAGCATGGGCCTGGGGGCGGGTGAGGGTACTCACCAGAGGCCCCCCCACCAAAGCCAGGCCTGGAACGTCCCTCCCCCATGCCTGCATTGCAAAGCGATTTCCTACCCAGTCCCCACCGCCACCCCCCAATCCTCAGACCACTCACGGGGCTGCCCCCCACTTCTCAGAAATGAAAACTGAGTCCCCGGAAGGATTTGAGCTCAGGTCTGCCAACTCTTCAGCCAATATTCTTTCCTCTATGTGGCTGGGCCCAGCCCACCCTGGTGATGGGGGGAGGAAGGGCAAGACCCCTGAGGCCCACCAGAGGGGAGTGAACTCCTGAGGAGGGGGCTTGACGGCCCCTCCTCACCCTTGGCTCCTTCCCAGAAGGCTGCCCGAAGCCCCCTCCCTCACAGGAGATGGGGTGAGAGGGGGTGCATCTGCAGAGCTTCACTGGCCTGACAGCTGGTTGCCATGGAAACGGTGGAACCAGGCGCCGGCTCGGGACTGGCCCAGCCCCGGCCTGCTGGCTTGCTCAAGCCCCCAAAGTCCTCATTCTGACTCCTCCATCTGCCCAGGTGGGGAGAGGGGCACTCTGGGCAGCGTAGACGCAGCCTCAGTTTACCCATCTGTGGCTGGGCAAGGATTCCAAGTATGGATCCTTGGGGGGACCTCCGCGCGGCGGGAAAGGGGGCAACTGTTGGCTCATTCTCACCCAGGTCCCCAGGCACAAAGCAGTGCCCCCAGTGCCCAGGGCCTGCCTGGAGGAAGATGGGCAGAGAATGATTCCAAACTTGGGGGAAAAGGCTTGGGGGCCTGGCTAACATCTACAGAAAGGCCTGGGGCTCCAACCACCTGCCTGCCCCAGGGGAACACCCAGGAAATACATGGGCCACACTGGGAGCCTCAGCTGCCAGCTTCCTGGCCTTAGGGCCTGAGATGGCAGGGCTGGCCTGGAAAGCATGGTAATAAGAGTGGGGGGGGGGGGTCCTCCCCAGGTCACAAGGGTGGGATCCTTGAAGACCTCTCCCCGCATCCTGACAGGGCCTCAAGGGATCCTTCAGCCACGACAGCAGCTGGATCCCCCCCAGCCCCGAGGGCTTCTGGCTAAGGGCTTCAGCCGCACAGCCTGGGGCGCCCAACTCCAGGACGCCGTTCTCAGCCAGCCCACCCAGGCCTGGCAATGCCCAAAGGGAGTCGGTGAGCCACCCTCTCACGCCCACCGGACTTCTGCAGGAGTGAGGGGAGTGGTCCCACAGTGCTCCTGGCCTGGTCCCAGGAAGCTGAATCCACATGGGTGGGTGCTGAGGGAGAGCTAGGAATGCCCAGACAGCCCTGTCCTCCCCCACCCCCTCGTCCCTCCCTTCCAGGGAGGGGGCTGCTGGAAGGGCCCTGCCAACACAGCTTCCTGCTACCTTCCTGGAATGCCGAAGGAGTGGGGGAGGAGGAGCCACCCACTTCTCCCTGCCTAGGCTCCCACTGGCCCCTCCCTGACAGGCACCACCTCCTTAAGGAGGCCTGGGGCAGGCCCACAAGTCGGGAACCCCGAGGGCCTGTCCTAGTTTTGCCCCGAGCCTGCTCCTCTCCTGTAACCCGGGCCCAGGTGGTGCCCAGTGTGCTCCCAGGCCCTGCTCTGGGACCCCGACACCAGGGCCGGTCCCCGGATGTGGCGGCAGGGGTGGGGCGGGGCACTCACAGTTCCTTGTAGTTCGCGTCGTACAGCGTGGCCCACTTGTTCTGCTGATGTGGTTGCCACTTGATGGACTGGTAGTTGGGGTCCAGGTAGGAGCCACTGAGGCTATCATTGTCCTGCAGGAGACCTGGAGGGAGGAAGCAGCCACGTGGGCCCTGCGCCCCACGCCCCCACCTCAAGGGGAGCTGGCTCGCTGTGAGCTCCAGCAGGCCAGGCACGTACCTGGTGAGGGTGCCCCTGGCGGGTGCCAAGGTGGTGTCTGGACCCGGGCAATGCTGAGGGGCAAGGAGCCGGACCCGGGTGAGAGGGGGCCCTGGGGAGGCCAGGGTGGGGATGGGGCTCGAGCTGGGTGTGGGGGCAGGGTCGTTGCTGTCCCAGGCTCCTGTTTGATCATTCCATTCAGCATCTGGGCATTGAGGGTGTTGGGAGGTGATTCGGAGTGCTTCCTCTTCTTGGAGGGGTGTGTGGGGAGCCTGGGGGTGACACAGAGGCGTGCCATGGGGGGCTGGCTCTTCCTGAGCCCCCTCCCCCCTGGGCAGTAGCCCCCTTTCCCTCTTCACCCCGTTTCAGCAGGATATGCCCAATCCAGAGAACACCTCCTCCAAAAAGCCGCTGGGCTTCACCTCCTCAGTGCTGCCCCATCGCTCTGTAATGCCATTCTCTTCTTCTGTCACTCATCTCTACCCCTGCAGCTCATGGAACCCGGGGGGCAGGAGCCACACCTGACTTATCTGTGTGTCCCATCAGGCCCAGCCATGGGCCTGGCGCACAGAGTGCCCCGAATCGTTTGTGGAAGGGAACAAGCCGGTCCCTTCCCTGGGGTGTCATTCTCAGGGCCACCCTTTATAGTGGGGGCTCCACGGAGAGCAGCCTCCGAGGCTGGAAACAAGCCCCAGAGGGCGTGGGCCACCAAGGCTGAGAAGGAGAGCTTCTTGGGGAGGAGGCTGTGGAGTCTTGCCCTGAACTAAACCTTTCATGACATCTCGATGTGTCAAACAAACAGATAAAAGGACAATTCTCCTGGCTGGAGTCAGAGGGGGAGCTTGGGTCCATAGCTAGAACTTCCTCCAGAGCCCCCAGACTTCGTGAGAAGGTTAGAAAGTCACTGGTGTCTGGGGAAAGGCACAGGCCCGAGGTTCAAGTCCTGGCTCTGCCCCTTCCTGGTTCCATGACCCGGACAAGCATTTCCTCCCCCTGGGAGCCCCAGTTTACCTATCTGGGCAATGGGGGTGGCCATGCTCACCAAATAAGGTAGTCGGAAGCATCTGGCCAGGGCTATCTGGCTGCTGGGTGGGCACACCCGTATACACGTGCTGACCCCCATCTCCTGGGGGCAGAGCCTTCTGCCCTCCTGGCTCATCCCGGTCCCCACGTCCATCTCTGTCCCACCTGCTGCTGCCCTGGCCCCCCACCCCCGAGCCCACCTGCCCAGTCTTACTCAGCTCCATGCTGCTGCAGCAGCTGGTGCAGCATCTGGGACTGCTGCGTGTGGTGGAGATCGCTGGGCACGAGCCCCTGCCCCATGGCAGCATAAGGGGGCATCGGGGGCTCGGTCTTCATGTACAGATCCCGCTGCAGGACAGGGTAGTGAGGTGGGGGTGGCGGGGGCGGCGGGGGGCCTGGGAGGTGGGCCGGAGGTGGAGGCGGGTGCTCCAGGCGGGAGGGCACTCCCACGTGGCACAGGGTCTCAGGGGTTATGGTGCGCAGGAGATGGGGGTCTGCGGGAGAGATGGGGGGGTAGGCATCAGAGACCTACATCACTCGGGTTCCCGGGCACAGGGTTTCCCACCTTCTCCTGAGACAAGCCCCGGGGTGGGGGGGCTGCCCTCCCACCAACCCCACGTGGGAGGAGGGCTGGGCAGCCTGAGGCTGGCCACTAGAGGCCCCGGCAGGGAGACAAGCCCCTGTCCAGGGGGTGGGCAGCTTCTCCCCCACCCCGCCGCCGTCCTAACCGGCTCCTTCCCCCCAGGCCCGGCTGCCCAGCTCCCGGGGGAAGGCCCCCGCATCCCAGCGTCCTCCCCCAGCCCCTCTCAGGCCTGGTCCTCCTCCGGGCCTCAGGAAGGAGTCTCTCGGGGACCCCCAGCACAGTCCTGCGGCAGCCCTCCTCCATCCCGCAGCCCCTCTAGCGGGCTCCCAGGGGCCAGCCCCCCAGCTCCCTTTGTTCCCCAGGAGGCATTCCAGAAATGTTTTTGGTAAGATAAACAGAACTCTTGACCCCTCTCTGGGCTGTGGGGAGCCAGCTGCCCGAGATCCTTCTGCTTTGGGCCACCTGGGGGCCGCTGCACCCCTGGCACCCCCCCACCAGGGGAGGTGGGCCCAGGAGGCCAGCCAGGCCTGTACTCGGGCTGCACCCACAGCCTTCCCCAGCCGTCCACTTACCGCCGAAGGGCGCGTCCATGATGGCGCAGGCGGGCAGGCGGGTGGCATCACCGGCAGGGACACTTGCTCAGAGGCAGGGCCAGGCTCCCCACCCGCCCGTGGGAAAACAATAGCCAGCACCGGGGAGTATTTGACCAGCGATAATCTGGGCCTGTTGGGCGGCCGCTGGCCCCCTCCCTCCCTCACTCCCTCCCTCCCCGATAAGGCCGCCCCAACCACTTGCCCAAACCCCGGAGGGGGAGGGCGGTGCCCGCTGGACTCACCATTCACCTGCTGGGGGGAGTAGGCCTCGGAGCCCGAGTCTGGGGGAGAATCCGGCAGTGTGCTGCAGGAGCAGGAAGAAGGGGCTGTTGGGCGGGCAGCTCGTCTGTGGGGCCGCGGCCGGGAGACCACAGACGCTGCAGGCCCTGAGGTCCCCTCACTCCCCCCTTCAGGGGAATTTCTCTGTATGAGCCACCTTGGGGTGCCAGGCAGGGCCTGGGGCTGAGTTGTAGGTGGTGGGCCTTGGGCTCCTGCCCAGCATCCCCTCAGACCTACCGGGCACTTGGGGACCAGGAACCAGTGTCCCTGATGATGGCACAGGGATTCAAGGACACAGGGATGGCACAGAGATTCAAGGAGCAGGGGCCAGGCCTGCTCCTCGCTTCCCACACCCACTGAAGCCCCACTTTTTAGAAACTCTAGGGGAGAGCTCTCGGGGGCTCTAGGAGGCTGGGCCGCCCCACCAGGGGCAGGTATGGGCTGGGCAGGGAGCCAGCCCCACCAGGTCGGGGTGTATTTTTTTCTTGCCGGTTTTGTTTTATCAGCGGTTCAGGCAAAAGAACAAACTCAACCCCGAGAGATCAACACGTCCTGCGTGAACCCTGCGTTCGCCCGGTGAGGGGAGGCTGCGGCCAAGCAGGGACCCAGCTCTCTGGCCGTCCTGGTCCCCACATCTGGAGAGACTGCCCGCCACCGTGCCCAGGCAGCCGAGCCCTCATGGACACGGCCCTGGGCTGATTCCAGAGTCCTCACGCTCCCCTGGATGAGCCACCCACCCAGCCCCCCCGGGCTGTGTGAGAATGACAGAAAAGGCAACAGAGACCCGATCCTCTGCAGCCCTCACAGTCCCCGAGGGCTGCCTGGGGCCTCTGCCCTGCGCCCACCAGCTCCTGCCTGCTTTCTGTACAGTGGCCGTTGGGTTTTCCGGTGTTTAAAGGTCCCGCACACCCTCTGGTCCCTGCAGTGAAATGTCTCCAGTCCGTGGGACCTTGTGTTCCTTCCCCACGACTCCTCCTGCTGCTCATTAGTCCTCGATTTGGTGATTTTTTGATTAATAAGTCCCTCCCCAACCGGCCTGCAGGATCCACCTCAGGAGGGACGTGTTTGTCTCGTTTGGCTCCTAGAACAGGGTCTGGCAGGCGCAGGGGCGGTGAAGGGCCCTGGGTCCCTCCCGGGGGGACAGCCTGGGCCACACAGTCTCTGTGTGCCTCTGGGCAAGCCCCTTCTCTCCCTGAGAAATGGCCTCGGTGTGCCTTTCGAATCCCACCAAAGGGGCAGCACGGCTTCACTTGGCAGGCCAGCTGGTTCTGGGATCTCCCAGGAGCTGCTTACTGCAGAGGCTCGATGAGCGTACACGAAGAGAGCCACAGGGTCCTGCAGCAGGCAGGTGGTCCTCCTATGTTCGTCCTCGGTCTTTGCCCTTCGGGGTCTGGGCTCAGGGACAGCCTCTCGGCCGGATGTCTGCCCTCCACAGCGAAAGCGCACCCCTAACACCCCAGCTTGGCCCCGCGGGCCTCCCCCAGTAAGCCAGGAGCTGGCTCCAGTTGCCCCCCCCCCACCCCGCACTTGCTCTGGGCTTCCTCCCCTTATTTCCACAATCCTGGAGGGGGAAGCATTTTGAGCTCACTCCACAGCCGCGGATGCTGAGGCCCTGACCGAGGCGGTGGGTTGTCACGCCAGCGGGCTGCAAATGCTGGAGCTGGGGGTAGACCCAGGCTGTGTAGACAGCGTCACGCCCCCAGCACTCTTACTATTCTTCTACCCAAAGACAGGGTCCCCTGCTCTCCTGCTCCCCACGCTGGGGAGCCCAGAACTTTCTCCGAGCCCCTCTGCAGAACCCAGCAGACCCATGTTCCTGCCTATCCTCATGAGCACGGGTCTGTGGGCGGCCCCGGAGTCTGGCTGGGCTGCTGACCGCCTGCATCCTGCGGTCACAGCCGGGCCCCTGGTGTGGACTCCTTGGAGAGAGGAGAGAAAGGGCCTGGGAGGCTGGCTTGGGTGGGGGGAGCTGCAGGTCCCGTTTCTGTGCCGTCAGCCAGCTCCCTGCGGCCCCAGCAAAGAGCAGCTAGATGCGGGAGTGGATGGGCCTGGGGCAGTGATGTATGTGTGTACAACGTGGGCGCCGGTGTGTATCCGTGTGGGTACGTAGCCGGGTCTCTAGGCTCACCTCCTCCCATCCCCTTTACACAGCTGTCAGAGAATTTTCTAGCACTTACGTCAGCCCTCATCACTCCCCTGCTCAGAATCTTCTGGGGCTGCCCACGGCCTCGGGACAAAGCCACGAGGCCCTCCTCAGCCACCCTCCCTACCCACAGGGCAGCCGTCACCACTGCCAGGCCACCACCAGCACCTCCCAGGCCACGGCCCCTGCCCCCATACCCCGCACGCCTGCCCCCCCGACGCCCCGCCCTCACTCACCCTGGCGCATAGGGAGCCTTGGGCTCGGCCTTGATGGGGGGCCCAGAGCCCCCCAGGAAGGGCTTGGGAACACTGGCCACAGCATTGTTGTTGCAGTTGAGCGCGGAGCTGTAGCTCGGGGCGGGGAGGGAGCCGTGGCGCCCCGGGGAGGGTCCGCCCCCGGGGGGGCTCAGGTGGTGGCCCCCGCTGGAGCCCGGGATCGCTGGCGGCCCGTGGGGGTAGGAGGCTGCACTGGCTGGAGCCGAGATGTCAGGGAAGCAGCTGTGGAGAAAGGAAGCAGCTCAGCGCCAGCCAGGACCCCAGCCCCTCCCCAGGCCCCCACCTGCCAGGCCGCGTGGAGTCCGCGGATGGGAAGAGACGGGGAGCAGCTTGCAGATTGGGGCCGCAGCACACCTTCCAGGTGAAAGGTGGAGGCCAGGGGCGTGGGGGCGGGGCCACTCACAGGTCAGAGGCGTCCTCCTTGCTGATGTACTCCTCCAGGATGCTGGTGTCTATGTTGGAGGGCTCCAGGGCACCGTTGATGTCGTGGCCTGCAGGGGAGGGGCAGATGTGAGCTACCCCTAGGCCTCTGGGCCCTGCCCTGCAGCTCTCCCCAGGCCGGGCTCTCCAAAACATATGCCCCCAGGCTCCTCCCGATCTGCCTATCCATGTCCAGGGAGAGTCCTTCAGTGCCTATCACCTGACGCCCCTCCAGGGGGCATCACACTGTTGATGCTTCCCTCCCCTGCCAGCCTGCCCAGAGTCTCTGAGGAGGGGAGGAGCCCAGAGCGCAGATCGGGGACAGACAAGCCATTTCCTGTGACATGAGCAAGTCCTTCCTCTTGTCTGTAAAATGGGGTCATCGTTCCAAAGCCTTATGGGGGGCTGGGAGGAGAAACTGAGGTACTTTACTGAACTGAGTGCCCAGTGGATGCCCACCACCCTTGAATGCTGGACCCAGACTCGATGACTCTGTCCTGCGCTGCCTCCCTCCAGACGGCCCAGCTGCTGGGCACCCAGGAACACGATGCGGGGCTGGGCTGAATCACACGTCCTGGGGTGGGGGGGCCGTGTGGCCAGGGGAGCCTCCTGCACCCCAGGCCCCAGCTGCAGATGGAGACGGAGTGGGGAATGGAATCAGAAGTGCCCGGCTCAGCCTACTGCATAGCTTGTCGCCCCCATAACGGGGGCTGGGGTACCCAGCCCTGGTATTCCAGAGGAGGAAATGGGCCCAGAGAGGTAAGGGCTTGCCTGGCCTCACAGCAGGGAATGATGGTGGCCAGAGGTCTGCTCCTCCACCACCCTCTCCTGGGCCTTCCCTGCTGGCCCCAGCCCCACAAAGGGGAGGGGCTCACAGAAAAGGAGCCCAGTGCTCTTGGGCATAAGCAGGGGAGGAGAGGGGGAGGCGCTGGCCCTTCCCCTCCCAGGGTCACCTTGCAGGGGGGAGCAGGAGGGCGGGGTGATAAGGGGGCTGACGTAGGAGATGCGTCAGCCCCGATAATGGAGGATGGCCCTACCCACGCTGCTGACCTGGGCTGACCAGCCCCCCTGAGGCAGGAGGTACCCCTCCCACAGGCCCCTGGAGCCGTGAGCCTAGGGTCTGCGCCTCATGCCTTCTCCCGGGCGAGCCCTGGGAACAGCTCAGGAAGATCCAGGAACAAGTCCTGCCTTGCCTACTGCCCGCTGTGTGACCTTGAGCGGATCACATACCCTCTCTGAGCCTCAGTCTCCTCATTAGTAAAATGGGGACATGAACAGCTAACACTTTACAGCGTTCACTATGAAACAAGTTAAGGAACGTAAGGCGCCCCGCATATAATGGGTGCTCAGCAAACGGAGTGGATGTCCTCACTTCACAGACCCAGAGCCCTGGGGTCCCCAGGAGCCCCTGGCCCAGGCCCCTCCCTGGCCCCAGCCGGCATTTCAAGAATGCTGAGCCCCGCTTAGGTGATTAATGAGTGGCTAAGCCCTCCTAGGAGTCACGCGCTGCCTGGGACAGGCCCTCCTGCTGGCCCCCACCCCTGGCTCACCCAGCCGGGAACCAGGGACACCCACCGAGCACTGCCAGTGGCCATGCAGGGCCCAGTGTGGCCAGGGCGAGAGAAGCTTCTCAAGCTGGGAATGACCAGCCTGCACATCAAGGTTCTAGGATTCCCGTCTACGCCCTGGCCCCCACCCCATCCTTCCCTGTTACCCAAAGATCCCATTTATTGAATGCCTACTGTATGCCAGGCACTTTGGGAGCCGAAGACATTAACAATCATAGGAGTTTATTATACGCAAGGCATCCCGCGGGTTCTTCATGCCCTAGTCGGGAATGGTGATGATGACAAGAGGACAACGATAAGGACAGCAGCTCCGGCGGACCGAGCGCCTGCCTAGCGGGTCCCGGCACTATTCTCAGGGCTTTACAGGATGATCACCCAATTATTAGCATCATCCGCTTTATTCAGAGAGGTCAAGTCTCTTGCCCAAGGCAACACAGCAAGGAGATTCAAACCCAGGCACAGGGGCCTGACTCCAAGGGGGAAGGTGTGGTTGGTGGTAGATGAGACTTCCTGGCCATTCTGGGCTGCCCCACCTTATGGGCTGGCAGTGGGGAGGAGGGGTTCCTCAGGGGATAGGGAGGGAGGGAGCACTGGAGCATTACCCACCCCCCACCCTGGCTGCTGATGTTGCAGGTTTTTGAGACTGAACTTGGAATCTACAGTGAATGATGGGGTGATGGAGTCATGGTGTTGCTATTTATAATAGGCCAGGCCCCCTCCTCCCCTCCTCCCCCTCCTCTGGCCAGGAGCACTCCTAATCACCCCTAATCCTCCTGCCCACCTCCCTTGGGATAGGGGGGCCTCAGGCAGAGGCATCCTGGGAGACCCTAACGAGAACCAGATGTGGTTGAGGGGAGGAGAGACCCTCCCGTGCCAGGGGCCGGGAGGACGGGAGGACAGAGGAGGGAGGAGGGAACCACTGGGGCGGGGTGGGGAAGAAGTCTAAGGTTTGGGTAGTTGGTGGGCCTCCTGAGGAACCCTGAGCCCACATCTTCTCCTTCTCTGGGACCCCACAAGGCCTGCCTGACATTCTCCCCACACGGCTCAGCCTAAAGGGTCCAGCCACCAGGCAAATGCCACCAGACTGCCCCAGAAATCATACCGGACACTTCTAATCAAACATTTGGGAGGACAGGGTGGGGGTGGGGGCTTGCCGGAGCCCAGAGATTCCTGAGGCTGGGGCAGAGCCCCCAGGAACCCAGCTGATGAAGGCATCAGCACATTTTGGGGGGCCCCTCTCCCCAACTTGTTCCCAGAAAGAGCTCTGGAACATCCTCGAGCCAACAACAGATACCTGCCCCTCCTCAAACCCTTCCACAACTTCCCACTGCTCAGGATAACCAGAGCCCTCCTGGAGGTCCACGGTGGTCCCCTTACCTGCCTCCTCCAGCCTCCTCTCCTAACCAGTTCCCTCCCCGCACCTCTCTCGGTCCTAGGGCCTTTGCACATGCTGTTCCCTCTGCTGGAGGAAGCCCATTCCCATTCACTGGGCTTAGATGTAAGTTTCTCCAAGAGGCCCCCTCTGACTCCCATTCCCGTGACTGGCGGCCTCCTTTCTCATCCAGCTCCTTACTCGGCTGCCTAGGACAGCCCTCACAGGTGGGCGGAGGGTCTGTCCCCTGCCCACCCGCTGCCCACAGCTCACTCACCGAGTGGTCACCCTGTGCCCACGCTCTATATGGCTCATATTTAACTCCCATAACAACCCTACAGGACAGGTGGTTTTCTTGTTCTCCGTTTTACAGATGAGGAAGCAGGCTCAGAAAGGATAAATGCCTTGCCCAAAGTTTACAGGTGTGGGACCCGGGATATGAGCCCGGCCCTGTTCCGACTTTCTGGGATATAAGCATCTAAGCATACAGTAGGCACACAATTGAGGTTCATGGAATGAATGAGCAAAGTGGCATGCAGGACACTAGAACCAGGCCTGCCTGGGTCTGGGGACCTCCACCCGGCCGTGTTATGGTCAGGGTCCAGGGCTAGACAGGGCCCCTCTAGGTACCGCCTCTGCCCCGCTGAGCTACGCGCCCCAGCTGCTCCTCATTAATTAGGACCTTTATTACCTGCTTCTAACAGGATCCAGACACTGCCCTGTCCCAGGCAGGCTGGGATAGGGGCTCTGGAGAGGAAGCCCCCTCCTCTCTTCTCTCCTCCTCGCTTTAAGGCCACCCAGCTGGGCAGAAGAAGAACCGAGGGGATACGAGCCAGGTGCGGGATGAGGGCGGGTGGGGGCCCAGGTGGTCCTCCACCCTGGACCCCTCCCTTCCCCCTCCTCATGCTCATGACCACCCCCCCACCAGCTGTGGCCGCTGGCTGAGTCTGAGCCATTGTCCCAGGGAACGGGGGAGGGTGGGGACCCAGCACAGTGGGAGGCTTGTGCCCTGCCCACACCTCCCCCCCACCCGTCAATGGGGCACTTGTCAATTCATGTCCCAAACATGGCGGAAATCCCGTCGGCCACGTGGCTGTGGGCAGGGGAGGCCAGGGCCTAAGGATGCTGGCCAGGCCTAGCTGATCAGAACCTGAGGCAGACAGGGCCCAAGTCTGTTCCCCACATTCCGCCCTGAGTGTCCACCCCAGGCGTCTGAATCTGAGGGCACCCCGGCTCCAGGCCACGGCTGGGAGCCAGGATGGTAGGGGTTCAGGGGACTGCCCAACCCAGCACCCCCATGATGCCCTCGGGGACTCCTAGGGTCAAAGAGGCCTAGCAGCTAATGTGGGTCCCCCTTCAATGTTATGTGACCTTTGGCAAGTGACCTGACCTCCCTGCGCCTCAGCTTCCTTCTCTATCAAGGGAAGCAGGGATCCCTGCCTCACGGAGCGGTCCTCAGTCTTCAACAAGAGGGTAGGAAAGCTCCTCACTCCCCAGAGGCCATTCCTCAAATAACATTCATCGCTGTTTCCTTCTCTCTTGGGGCTCCCCTCTCCTCTCCTGCCCAGGGTCTACCTCTCTCACCCATGCCTCTCCACCTGACTGCTTATCTGCTCCAGAGAGCCTCTGAGGGGGCCTCCGACCTCCTCCCGAGTCCCTCTGACGCATGCCTGGTACCATACTGTTATTCTGGCATATACACAGCCAAGTCCAGCCTCCAGGCCTTGGCTGTAGCCCCCCACCCACCACCCCGGTGGGTAAGCCTGTGACTGCCTCCCTGCTCTGGAAGCCCCTCCTCGATCTCCTCCATCACAGCGGGCGCCCAGTGCCATCGCTTCTTTCCTAACATGGCCTGAGCTAATCGACACGCTCCAAACTAGTTCACTCTGGGACAGGGCACAGTAGGCTCTCACCTCCTTCGGCTTGAACTTTCTATCTTTATTAATACGATCTGTGATTAATGTAGTAACTGCTAGCGGTCCCCGCTTCAGGCTTCAACCTGTGACCAGACCTTCTCACTCAAAATGCCTTCCGGTCAGATGCTTGATTTTGCAAGCTATCCTTTGCATCTCTGCATCAAGTCTCCAGTTAGCTAGGGGCTGAATGACAAGGATATGGCTCCTAAGTCACTGCCATCAGGCCCTTAAATCTGAACCATGGTTGCCTTTATTTGCCAAAAATGCAAAAGAACCCCCATCTCCTCCAGGGGACCTGGAATCTTTGGCCACCCCTGGGCTGTAGCTATGTCCCCCCCTAGACCCCACACAGCTACCACCCTGTCCTCTGGTCGACACAAGGCTGAAGTCAGAGCCCCAAGAGGCTCCCAAGCCAGGTCCAACAGAACTGAGCCCAGAAGCTGCAACGTGTTCTGTGGGGACCCACACTGGTCCCCAGGGATCTTCAGTTTGCTCTGGGGGGCCCCCAGCCCTGATGCTACAGGGCCAAGTGAGCTCCCACCCGACGGCCACATCTCTGTCATACAGGGACCAAGCCAGGCAGGCTGGGGAAGGCCCACCCCACAGGGGCAGAGTAGAGACCCCGCAGCTTGGGGTGGGGGCGGGTCTCTCTGTACCCATGTCTATCTGTATTCACACACCAGCATGTCCCCCCACCACACACACACGTGTGTACACAAGGGCACACTCCCACTGACACACGATCGTGTACGTACACACACACACACACACACACAGAGTGGCATACCCTCCCCACGCGGACACACACATGTGCTCATTCATTCAATCAAACAATTACTGAGGATATGCCATGCATCAGGCACGATGCT